CTATTAGTGTGTGTTACAGCATTTTCGAGTGTATTAGTATGTGTTAGTGTGTGTTAGAGTCTACTAGTGTGTGTTACAGTGTGTTAGAGTCTAGTAGTGTGTGTTACAGTGTGTTAGAGTCTAGTAGTGTGTGTTACAGCATTTTAGAGTCTACTAGTGTGTGTTACAGTGTGTTAGAGTCTAGTAGTGTGCGTTACAGTGTTTTAGAGTCTATTAGTGTGTGTTACAGCGTTTTAGAGTCTATTAGTGTGTGTTAGTGTGTGTTAGAGTCTATTAGTGTGTGTTACAGCGTTTTAGAGTCTACTAGTGTGTGTTACAGCGTTATAGAGTCTATTAGTGTGTGTTAGTGTGTGTTAGAGTCTATTAGTGTGTGTTACAGCGTGTTAGAGTCTATTAGTGTGTGTTACAGCGTTTTAGAGTGTAGTAGTGTGTGTTAGTGTGTGTTAGAGTGTCTTAGCGTGTGTTGGTGCATGTTAGTGTTAGTGTTTAGGAGAATCGGGACACAAGTGTGTGAGATCATTGTGCTGTTTATTTGGGCAAATCCAGGAATCAAAGTCACAGTCCATAGCAATGGTCGAGACACAGGCAGGTAGAAACAAACAGGATAATCCATAATCATAAACAATAACACAGGCCCAGATCAAAACCAGGACGTCTAGACATGAACATGAACTCAGGAACAAATAAAGAAACACAGCTTGGAAACACATGATACAATCAACATGAGGAGACAATGATCCAGAAGGGCTTAAATGCACAAAACCCTTCAAGCGCTAATACAGAACAGATGCACATGATCACGACACAATAGGGAGAATAACCAATGAAAAGACGGGGGCGGAGACAAGACGCAAAGCAAAACAGTACATGGTGTACACGGTTAGGACCACAGTTGCTATGATAGCTTTAGAACTGCAATTCCCACGAACAGTTTTGCACTCAAGTCTCCATCAGTGAACATTTGAAAATTCAACAAAACAGACTTCATGTGAAAACTGTGATGAATTTACTGGTTACACAACTGCACTATTTGTCCATGCAGTACACAGTTATAGAAGGGAATTATTTATAATCGCACTATCGGGTGTCACCCAGATGAGGATGGGTTCCCTTTTGAGTCTGGTTCCTCTCAAGGTTTCTTCCTCATATCATCTCAGGGAGTTTTTCCTCACCACCGTCACCTCTGGCTCGCTCATCAGGGACAAATTTATAAATTTGTTGTTCTTCTCCTTTTGGCTGCTCCTGTTAGGGGTCGCCACAGCGGATCATCGGTTCCATGACCTTCCTGAAGCAGCCCTCCCCAATTTTATCCAGGCTTTGGACTGACTCTAGAAGTGCACTGCTGTGTGCTGGGGTTGGTTCCCCGGCTGGGAATCGAACCCGGGCCGTGGTGATGAGCACAATGAGGACTAACCACTAGTCCTCCAGGGACCATAAATTTATAAGTTTAAAATTTATATCCTGAATTTATATATATATATTTCTATAAAGCTGCTATGTGACAATGTCTATTGTTAAAAGCGCTATATATATAAAACTGAATTGAATTGAATTGGTGTACACAGAAGCAGCGCTAGGAACCGTGCCGTGTGCTGATCTTCACTTTGTAAGTTTTCATACAATGTGTGAATTGTTATGAATTTTCATTGTGGTTAGTTTCGCTAGTAGATGTTTTTCACATGAATATTTCATCTTAAGGACTGTTAATGGTTAATTTAAATGTTTTTATTACAGGATTATAATTAACTTTGGGTGGTAACAGTAACTCCATTACATCACACCTTCCCATCCTTGATTATTTTACCTTATTACAGAGTGATGTTCGGAAAGCAAAGGTGTGTAAGCAATATTGAAAAAGCTATAACACTAATATAATGATACTCCTTATTAACACTTGTGTTGGGTGTGTTAATGAGTTGCTGAGTTCTAGGTGTGTTAGATTACACCTTTTAGAAAGAGGACAAAACTCAGGGCATTTTCTACCTCAAGGCTGAGGTGTGACAACCAATAAAGAGTTCCTATATTATTAAAACACACTGTCCTGACATAATATCAGCCCAACCCACATTTGCCATTTTCCAGGGTGTGTGTGTCTGTGTGGATGTGTGTGTTACAGATAGTTTATGATGTTAAATAAGTGCAGTTAAATAATGACATATTAATTAATCATTGTATGTTGCAGAGGGTGATTCATCACACTTTCTTGTGTGCTAGGGCAGACCAGGCTTGTTTTTTCTTTATTAAAGTCAGACATATTTGTACAATAAAATTCTTAGACTTATAACCATCCAATCCAATAGAAGAGCTTCCATATGTCAAGCAGGATAACACTAAACATTATAGCCAGTCATATAAAGGGTTATTGTTTGTCTTATTAACTCTAAGAGAGAGAAAAAAGAGAGGCTGGTGAGGGAACGACTGTTTATAGCTGCTATAACGTAAGAGAGAACAGGAACTAACTTGCTTTGCAGATTTTATATAAAGCTGTAAATGGATAAAAAGTGTGACATGTCAAGTCAAATCAAGTAGATCATTGTTGTCATCACAGCCATATTCAGTGTGCAGGACACAGTGAGATGAAATAAAGTTCCTCCTGGACCCAAGGTGCAAGATATATGTAGGACACACACACACACATACACAGTGCCATCAGGACATAAATAGTGCAATAGGTGTTGTTCTTTAATAAGTAAAAATAAAAAATCTCTTAACATTGCTGTGGTATAAGAGGAATAAAACACTTGAGGATATTGTGTTATAGTTAAATAATCAGTTTTGTTTGGTAACATTGATTATTTCACTATAACAACACACACGTACTGTTTCTTTATCTTTCTTTAACTAGATGGAGATCTAGTAACTGACATAATCTGCCAAGTCAGGAAACAATATAGCTGGAATTATGCCTTCATTATTAAAAATCACTGCATACATTATTAATTAGCTCAAAATCACGAATATACTATAAGGCCAAAAGTATGTGCACCCCTGACCATCACACTCATATGTGCTTGTTGAACATCCCATTACAGATTTATTCCCCTTCGCTGTTATAATAAGCTCCACTCTTCTGGGAAGCTTTCCACTAGATGTTGGAGCGTGGCTGTGGGGATTTGTGTTCATTCAGCTACAAGAGCATTAGTGAGGTCAGGCGCTGATGTTGGGATGTCGAGGAGGTCTGGGGTGCAGTCGGTGTTCCAGTTCATCCCAAAGGTGTTCAGTGGGGTTGAGGTCAGGGCTCTGTG